TTCGTCGGGTAACAATCATCTTACATTCTCGAAATCCATCATTTAAACATATCAAAATTCATGTTGAGTAAAATTGTATTTATTTCTGAGTCATAATGTGCCTTTAAAACACAAACGAAACTGTATGTAATAGTAAGAAATAAGTGGATAATTTAATGTAAAAACAGGTTTATCCAAGTTTTCTCTATGAATTATATAACTTTAAAAGAGCGTTTTAAACAACAAATGAAACCAAGTCATATCAGACCAACCGTACCACGACAATATTAGAGTTGATAAAAATCTGTCAAGCTGTGATTGAGGTGCTTTAGGGGATGAAATCCTATTCATCTTTATCTGACAGATGTTGTATTTGGTTACAGATGAAATGGTTGGGACACATGTGAGTATGTGGTTATTTCTTATTCATTAATTTGCCATCTGTGGCGTTGTAATTATTTTGTTACAACCAGTGCGTGTTGTAGCTCCCGAGAGTCTCGTACTCTATTGCTTCCGATAGTTTTGCAATGATGCTATTGTTACAAAGTTTATGAAACTACAAATGTATCTAAAAAACGATACTGTATACAGTATAATTATGGGATTTTTTTTGTATAAAACAAAATTTATTTATTGTTATTAAATATTATTATTATTATTATTATTATCATTATCATCATCATCATCATTATTATTATCATCGTTATTATTATATTATTATTAGCATCATCATCAATATTATTATTATCGTTATTGTTAGGCAAACTATATACATATAACTTGTATATACTTAAACCTGCTTTTCATTTGAATTTAATTTGTGAATGGGAAATTCAGATACCAGTGTTTGTTTTGTGTATATATGTGACAGGAAAAATATTGTTTGGGATAAAATGTTCACATTTGATAATAATGTCCTCTTTCATACGCACACAAGAAGCAGGAAAATTATGATTAAAAATAAAGTTAAATTGAATTATGAAAGACAAAAGTTTAACTATTATTTGTCTCCTTGTTTAAAGATTTTATATTTTTTTATTACATGTAATATAATTAATCTTTGTTCAAAACACAGTACCAAATATTTCGGCCAACTTAAACAAAAATTATCATATTTTTACAATATTTATAAACATTTTCCAATCGAGTTTTCCGGTTTAAAGGAGCTCCACTGAAGTCGAAAAACTCTTAAAACATAAAAGTTGGATGTCTTACGTAGCTCAAGTGAAGCACATAAAATATATGCAAAGGATAATCAGAATTAAATTGAAAATCGAAAATTGGACTAATTTTTAGCCCGATTTGAGTAAAAATAAAAGATAAACCGTTGCAACGCGTTTCATTTTAGGGTCATTTTGCGCAATTAAAATAATTATCATGGACAGACGGGGTAAGGGAATGATCTAACAATGTGCACACAAGTTATTGGTTAAGGTCTCAATCAAATTATATATAAATCTCGGGAAAATATTTTCAGTCCCTTCCTGTCAAAAAACCTCATTGATATCCCTTTAATGTACGACTAATAATACAAACGCATTGGTGTTAATTATGTTTGGTACCTAAATAAGAAAGTAAAGGAAGTTTTAAGAGTTCAAAGAATAAAAAACATATTTAAAAAAAATCAAGTTCCATATAGGCAAAGTTTCATTTTATTAATGTAAAAAACGTTAAATATACTTTTTACAAAAATATAATTTCTTACTAAACATAGTTTAAACAGAACATGTTGACATAATTTTTGTCTTACTTTGGAAGTAACTTTTAAAAATAGATCACATATTATTCTATCGATTTTATCCGAATTAATCTGAATCCGATTAAACCGTCACTTCCTCTGATTTTAAAACCATGTCGGGGTTGTTTATATTGGATTAAAATATCAATGTGACTTTGATATTGGCTGTTATGTCACATAAATGTCAAACAGGACGTGTCCTACAAACTATTCAAAATATGTTCACGAAATCTTAAAGATAATGTGATACAACGTCTTTTTTAAGTTTATGGATTATAAGGTATTTATTTATATAATATTACTTATACCTAATACGTTCAGGCGCACTCTGTTCTGAATAAAATATTGTACAAATAATTGTTTCAATATGTTATAATGTAATGGAAATAACGTCTCGCAATTGTTGAAAGATAAATTTCAATTTGCAAATGTTTCATTTTACATTTCGGTCAGAAATGTAAAGATTCATGTAATTCTCGCCTCGTAAACATAATTGATTACACTGTGTATTAAAATATGTGATTTATATAAACATATTGTTACAATTTAAATTAAACGCAGTTTATTATTTGGAATTTATTACCATAAAATAATATCATGATTTGGCTAATAAGAAAATGTTATTCCTAAAAATAATATTTACGCATTACGAGGTATTATCTCACAAATAACCGTTTATTAGGCCATATAGTATATGCATCTTAAAAAATCTTTAAAGGCACATTATGCCTCAGAGATTAATTAATTTTTACTTCTTAAGAAAGGGCAAACATGAATTTTATAATGTTTAAATAGTGGTTTTAAAGCATGGATGATACATATCACCTAAAGAACGGAGCGATAAATGAGAAATAGTGTGTTCTATATTAAGAAACAAAATGTAAACAAAATAGTATTCAATTTCCATACAAAATGCTTATTCACTATAACTGTACTTATTGCCAAAGAGCAAAAGATTAAAACGATGGTCCAAGTGCTTGGACAACCAGAAGCTTGGACAATGAGTTACTAACTCGAAACTATAGCAGAATACCAAACATCAAAAGCTTTTTAAAAAGCATTTCTGAGGCATTATTGGCCTGTAAAACAAATTTATTTTACAGCAAAACTTTTTTTTTCGAAGAAAACGAAAAATTACTTTATAAATCTACAGCAGCATTGTGCATATAGTGTTTATAACATTCACGATTGAGCCAATGAAAATAGATGTACTAGAAGGTTTAGAGTCGCACCGACACAGTAAAGGTCATATGGCGTCACTGAGTATTTCCAGATTTACTGGTGGCGGAAGACCTCAAGTATCCCTCGGCACGAACGGGTTGAAATAATATACACCATATATCTAAGGGAAGATATTGTACCATCGTCATTAACCTTTTTGTTTCATAAATCCTAACATTGTCAGTGCATAATGTTTTTTCCTCATTAATTATGAAAAAGTACATTATCGTATACCTGTCGTTATTTTCCTTTTTTCTGACAGGTTGACAAATCATTTGTTGCTAACAAAATACACAATCAGGCAAAGGAAACTGAATTATGCATGGTTTACGTCATATTTAACAGTTTGAGATGGGTTTAACACTTATCAGGTTATATTTAGCAGGCAATATCAAATATTGATTTTGGTTATAGATGGCAATAAAGCATGTTTTGTTGCCATCGATTAACTTACGTTATTGTAAATATCATTTATAAATGTATAACATAAATTGTTCCCAATAAAGAAATAAAATGATTTGTGGACAATTGTCTGCCTCCTCTTAATTTAAACTGGTATTTAGCAAGTGTTAGAAGTTTTGATCTTAAACGTAAAACTGAGCTCGACTAGATGTTTTCATAGCACAAATTTATGCTAAATAATCTTTAATAAAGTTATTCAACCTAAATAAGTTAGCACTCATTCAAACGTAACGGATGTTTTTGTCAATGAATCTTAACCTTTAAACAGGGATAATTCTATAATAGCTTGAAGTAGAAAGAAATGACATTTAAAACTTTAACGTTTTAACATCTGCGAGTTCATATTCACCGATATTTCATGTTGTCCCTGATTCACACACCAGAGCGGAAGTACTTTTAAAATTGACAGGCAAATGTATTATTGATTTTTTATCCCCATCATCGGGTTCATACCCAGCAGGCTTCATTTGACCAGGTCATGTTTTTACATTGCGCACTCAGCGGCGGTAAACTTGTCAATATCAACGCAGACCCAAATATAAACATGAGTAACCAGTGTCGGTATGGTCAATGATGTTAGTGTAAATTGTTGCTATTTTTTGCATTTCTATCATTAATATCGGGTATTTTAAACTGATATTACCAAAAAAATAAGACTTAAGGTACTTTGTGCACATACTTAGTAAAAATGAATTAGATAACATCATTCAATTCAAAAACAATATTCATTATAGGACATGGATTGCATAATATTACAAATCATTAAATGATAACAAAATTAGGACTGTTTTTATAACTATTTCAAATTTAAAAGATTTGCAGTAGTTTCTATCACTCTAATTGACCGACAAAGCATGTAGACCAACAGACAACTGACGTATGGTAATCGTCTTCCGGATCTTAATTATTTCTTCAAATTGCAAACGAAAAAAAAATAACAGAAATGAAAACAAAACAATAAAAGTTCAACCTTATTTTCGTTAATTATACGCGCCGAGGGAAAATAGTTTGAGCTATCAAATTTTTACAATATAGTTGGTAAACAGTCATTGTGATACGTATCGTATTTTTTGTATTGTTTTCTTTACATAAAAGAACAATATATCGGTCGACCAACCAACCAAAGACGTACACGGAGGGACTTAACAGATCATTATCTCACAATATACGCATTTGTGGGTATGTATACATGTATATATATATATATAAACAATATATCTTACATATATAATATGATTATAGATATACTATATAAATATAATAAACTATAAATATTATATATAGTATTTTAAACTATTATGTTTATTGAAATATATAAGAGACACATATATACCGATGTATATAATAAACAGTTGAGTCAACATGACTGGCTTAAAATAATCAAATTACGATTGCAAAAATTTCATGAGATAAAAATCAAACTTTTAAATTGAAATAAATTAGGTTTGAAGTATGCGTAACAAAACCTCGAGATTTGAACAGGTTAGCTTTATTTCCCGATAAACGTTTTCGGTACAGAAAGGCCATTCTATTTTAAAGTTTGGTACCTATGTCTTTAAACCAGGAAATTGAAGATTAGAAGAAATGAACAAACTAAAAATTCTTATAATTTCTGTTTTATTATACATTTTAATACTTATAAACGATTTTTAAACAGAATATGAAATATCTGTCAAAAATAGAATATTTTCAATATCTTTAATCATATCTGTACAACAGATAAATTATATAACAATTACATACATAACATCTCAATATAAAATAGACTTTGATCTCAAATAAAGTTGAATGAGACTAATTTATCTAATTCTTTCTTATTATATAGTCTCGCACAGCGTCAAAGAAAAATGGCAGGAAAACAACTAATTCAGTAAATTGCACGAGCAGTTGGTAAAGGCATGCGGAATAAGGATTGGCTATCTAAGTTGCACGTGCAAGTTTGTACCTAGAACTATGAGCAAATTTGTGTTAAAAGTAAATTTCCTGAGATTCTTTTGATTAGCATAACTTTACATTAGTGCAGATTATATTTGTGTTCATTGAGGAAAACTTACTTTCAATAGTATATATGGCAGCTTTTAAAATAGCATCTGACAAATGACGTCAAAGTAAACACGTAAACATCATATTTCACGTCACAAAAAAAAGTACTACAAATAGATAGGAAAGAAGACGAGTTATTACCATGTTACCCGAAATAATCGACGTTAACCGATCTAATAGAGTGTGTTATCATTAAAATTTTTAATTCAAAAAGCTCAGTTATAAAATAAGAACATAAAAGAAAAGAAAAATCTTCGATGGAAACTTAAATTCCTTAATTCCCTTTTTTATATATGACGATAAAAACAATAAAATAATTTCAATTCACCTTCTGAAAATAACCCTTAGCCACGGCATTACGCAGAAATCAAACAAAAACCAGACGCTTTATTGGATATTTTGGATATCCTATCATATTTTCCAATATCCGCCGTGATTAATCTGTGAATCATTTACAAGTCGCTTTGTATAATATGTTTCTTTTTCCTAGACAATTTATTTGTTTTTATAGAATGAACTATAATGTATTGAAAACCAAAATGTCTGCAACAATAAGAAAGATCGGTTCGAATGATGCAGTTTGAAGAAAAAACAAACAACTGAGCAAAAATCTCAACAAAAAGCATGTCATGGCGTTAATGAAATTATCAAAATTAGTAGAGGAAAATAGGAGCAAATTGCCTGTCAGTGAACAAAAATGTTGGGTTCTTTTCGGGTGCTATCAACAGATTACCTTTGTTAACAGGTAATACATGCTGACATGCAAAGGCTTGATATTATTTTACAGTCATATGTTTAAAAAAAATATATAATTCACATATTCATATATCATATTATATCATATCCTGTCGTAAAATATCATGTCATATCAAAACTTATCCATATGGTGTTATACTATATACAGAAACTCTTTCTATACCTTATTTCATTATTAAAATGAGTAAACGATATAGCACATATAGATATGTAGGTTTTTATCTTCATCAGTAAATAGAAGGAAATACATTTAGTAAATGGTTAATTTTATTCTTTTTATAAATTGATATACTCTGGTAGGATATATTTCCATATACATAACATATATCTTACGTTTTGTAAGTAGGTCATACTGTGACTTTCAAGCTTTATCGGTGAAAGAAAAGCCGAGATTTCCTCTTATGTTTGGTTTCAAGACCGAGCAGAGCCACCGATCTTCTATTAGTCAGATAGATAGCATAGTTTCTTGGAGGCTTCAACAAATATTACAAGCGTTTTCAGGGAAAGGCAGAAAGAAAGAATGAAAGAATGTAAGAAAGAAAGAAAGAAAGAAAGAAAGAAACCTATAAGAATCATTCATTCTGTTATTTAAAAGAAATCTTAAAAAAACTGTTCTGCTTGTAAACCTAACACTACTATGAAGAAATACAGGGTTTAAACCTTTAACATAAAATGAAATCATTACTTGAATTAAAAAATAAAACTATATGTGTTGAATTATGATAGTTAAAAACAAACACTAAAACAGAAATCTTGTCACGCACAACAAATAAAACAAAATCCGCTAACAGAAATAAATTCTTGTAACTTCAATGCGGGATTATATTCAGAATTAATGATTTATTACTACCAATCAGGATTTATGTATTTTTCATTCTAGGTATTCTTTCTGAAAAAAAAACAAAAAAAAACGAAAAAAAAACGAAAATGCAATAAAACGTACAATAAACATATTTCATTATTATCAAACCGATTTTTGTTCGGTGTTAACATGAATCACACACTCGATTATATCTGACAAACTGAGCAACAGTTTTTGATTGTCATATTTATCAAGCATTTATTACCATTTAAACCGTACATTTTAAGCACACTTCAATAGTTAAAGTACACATTAAACTGTTCTCGTATTCCCTTCAACTTCATAACTAATTTAAACAAATACTATCTATAATAACTAGGAAGAAGAAAAAAATACAATTTCAAATATGTGCGTAAAACTACAACCTTCAACTCTCAAAAAATGACCCTGACATAATTATATAAAAGTCCATTGTATATTGTTTAAACTGCGTATCTACACTTTGTTTACATTACTATCGCAATTAGACATTCCACCATACTATTGTCACTTTTATGAATAAGGTAACAAGTCTTAAACATGTTTAAACAAAATATAATGAGAACAATACAAACTTATCTCCTTTTTTTTAAATTCAGACATTTATGGAATGTAAAGACTACCTATCAATACTGATTTCTGTTATCATAGACAATATATTAACAAAGAATATTCTCCTTAAACAACTAATACTCGTACTTGCTTCACAGAAAATGTAAACACGATGTAAATGTATGTTAACTATTATGTCAACATATAACAAACCTGTCTCAGTATGTACGGACATTAACATACAAGTTACAATACAGAAGTTTCACGCCTATAGCGTTTTACTTGTTTTCATAGCTGACAATAAGGAGTGATAAGAATTTCTGTATTTATACAGTAACCTCAAAGCTTTTCACATTTTATCCTAGATAGATACAAAACAATAAAAAAGCTCCATAAAGCAAATCTCGTAACTAGGCTTTTTAAATTTGTACAATTATTCATACATTATGCAAATAACATTTACAAAGTGGCCTGCGTTCATTTAAGCACGAATTTGTATTACAATGACATCAAAAAGAAATTTGTTTTTTTTATTGTGTATGAATACATAACTATCTCATTTTAGACCTAGTTGAGTAACAAAGTACGAAAATAGTTTTCAAATGTCAAAAACATTGATGGAAAAAACCTGCAATTGACACTATTCTTTTATATATGATTTCAACGTTTTCTACATATGTTTTCAACGTTTTCTACATGTGTTATAAAAGAACTAAACATTTTTGTGGGTTTTTTCTCCATTTGTTGTAAAATGGAAAAATATAGGTATAAGCAAACTACGTACATTTGTATAACGTGCAATCGTACAATATTAACAAAAAATGACTACTAATGTACTTTCAATACATTTAATTATTTATTCAATGAATAAAGTACTACTTAATACTTAAATGTACCCAAGCCACGTTAATAGAGATATTTAATGAACAAATAAAAATAAATTTTCCAGAAAAAACATATCTTACAAATAAATAAACACGTATAAACTGTGAACCTTTTAAATTAAAATTTGTTCACAATATATTTATATATATATTCTTAATACTCTCACGCCGTCGTGTGTATAGTGTTTGACTTAGCTCCAACATGCCCATTAGGTAATCTAGGCACGGACCGTTTCGGAGAAGAACTTTTAAACTCCTTCATTGACGATGATTTTACCGTTCTTGTATGCACTGTTTTCCTTGATCTTGTGGGTGATTCTGACTTAGTCACACTTTTTTCCTGAGTAACAACAAACTCGCGTGCTTCTTCAACACTTGTTAATGAGTGAGGCGAAAACTGAACTTTTTCCCAAGAAGGATAGCGGGGAAAAGTGTCCTCAGGTAGTTTTTCTGCGGGAGGTGGTGTGGGGGGTCTATTCCGGCGTTCTTTATGCTTGCTAAACATATTCACCGGGCATGTATTTGAGCGTTGCCGCGGTGGAGATTTAAACACAAAAAACGCACCTTCTTCAGTGTTTGCTAACTCTTTGTTTATTTCCTCAGGGCGTGAGCGGTCAACATTTTCCTCATCATTATCACTACAATCGTCAACAACGATATCTGGTAGATCAAAACGCACATGATAACACGGACGTGGTGAAATTGGGTCAGTATTTGCCCTCGGGCGCATGGGTGTCCGAAAAAAACTTTCGTCGTCAGTGTCGACAGATCCATGATGAACGAGAATCGACTTTGTCCGCTGAGGAATATCCTGGGCAGGTGATTCGTTAATTGTATCCATCTTAATCCCTGTTTCAAACAGAAAATCACAGAAATCGTTTGATATTTTCCTCACGATTAAAAACTTTTGTAATCAATAGGTAAACCTTCATACAAATACAAACATCTGCCACTATCTAATTTCACAACGTATTACACAAGAGATGTTCAAATAAAATTCCACTTTAATATTTGTTTTTCTTTCCCGTTTATTTGCCCTCTGAAATCGCACTAATAATTCCAGAGGTTTGCGTTGGAAGAATAAAATGTATGTTTAACACTTTATTTTCCCATCTTATTCACAAACCACATGAATTCATTAATAATATAACACTTCCTAATGATTGTAACAGCGTGTGAACTTTCACTACACTCGGATGATTCTATACGGTGTTTACGATAGCATCTGACACAATGTATGGTTACATCCAACTTTACATGATTAAACTATTTCAGTTTGTTGCCATTGTTAAATCATTTGTCAGATACATAATATTCGCCAAGTTTTACAAGTTAACTAAATTTCCGGTTTTTAAAACTGTGTCGCACTGATATCGTGGCGTTCCTGTCTATTGAATCGCACAGTTTTCTTTTTTTGTGACGTAAAACTGTCAAGTGTGTTATTTACATTTCTCCTCGTTAATTCACTGTCAGCGACGGATAACATACTACCAGTTACATTATTGTCCACTTTATTAACTCCCCATACAGGCGTTTCGTAACACTTTAATCTTTTATTCAGTTTCCGATAACGTGGGCCTGAATAATGATCTTTAGTCTGGCAAGCGTTTATCTGAAAATTTGAATCAACTTGCCTACTTAAAACTGGTAACTTCGTTTTAAGAATAATATTTTCACGTTTAAGTCCACTTGAATAAAACTTATTTGCCTCGTTATTTACACCCGTGTTATTATATCCATTATCACGCAGTATTTGTTTTTTGTCAAACGCCACGGTATGTATCGGTCTATCTGAATAGTCAAGTTTTTCGCTTGATTTGAAGCGTCTAGTTTGATCGCTGAACTTAGGAGATTTGCCAATATATTGTTGAGCTAGTGGATTATATATCGGAAAAGCGCGCGCTTCAGTGTGTTTCTCTTCATATCCTGTGGACATGCGCAGTCTGTTTAGGCGCACGAGCCTAGCACGAACTTTATCAATTTGGTTTGATTGTTTGTAGGCTTCTAGGTGAATTTGGCGTGAGAAATATCGTTCTAAACCTCGCAATTTCTCAATTTCCCTGTTACAAACGGCTTTCTGTTGTCTTGGAATGTTAACCACCTGTGGAAATAATTATAATGTTTCCGTGTGGTAAATCATTTACAACATAAAAATCAAGAACATTACTGACATGTTTTATTTAGACATATTTTTATTTTGCATCTCGCATAGAAACTAAGTGTTTTATTATTCGTGGTGCTGACATTGGAAGGTTCAATTTTACTAGAACGCTCCGGAAATAACTTGTCGGTAATTTGGCTTAATGTACAAGAAAAGGAAATACATGTCACGTGGAGGAAACTGTCGTCACCTCCATCAGTTATCCTGTCAGTGCCCTGAATAATAATAATTGTTAATTTCTATTGATTTCTATACGCAACATTTATTTGATAGTTAAGTAAAACTTACTTGAATAACTCACGAGTAAATTAGTTATGATTGTCACCTAGGTAAAGGAGTGCTGTTGTTTTGAGACACATATTCTAATGATGTTCTTAATGTATCGACAAAAAATATTTTTAAAGAGGAACAAACTCTATGCACTCATGAAAGATATATGATTTTAAACAACACAATATACTAAAGATTTTATATAAAGAGACTCTTATTTGCAAGCAATCATTTGACAATTTGAAGTTCATTCGTTTTCCGGGTTACAATACTCAAGAGAATTGGTTATCAAGAACATAAACTCTCCAAATAGAATTATTTTTTATCAAAATTAATCATAAAAATTAATAAATTTGTAGTTATATAATGTGAACTACAATTATTCAAATTAACGATAGGTGAAAATATTAAAATTGAAGAAAAATGAGAATATGATGACACATGGCAAAATAAACACTGTGTTGGTATCACATTTGAAAAAAAAATATGACTTGGTATAATTTTAATAATTTGTTCACGATTTCTCGTGTTTTATATAAGACCGAAATATTTACCTAAGATATGCCATAAAATGGCTATATCATTATTAATATAATTATTAAGCATTTAAGAAGTTTATAAATCGTCAATTAACTATATTCCCTCATCTACAGTTTCACTCCAGAACCCAACTTTCGTACACGCTTTGCTAAATTATGCTGATACCAGAGCTTTGATATTAATAGCATGTCAATTAGGTTTACTTACACTCAACCGTATATTTAAGAATTCATTCAAGAGAGTACTTCTAAATGCATTTGAACGATATTAGATCGCAAACAGTACACAGTGCACTTCTCGAGTAAATTAAGGCGCGGCAATCAAATATATCTCATTCAGATAATCAAATCATACCATCACTTTACTAGAGCATGTGGCAAGATTACATGATTTCCTACACGTTCTGTAATGTTAACTTACATTTCTATAAATTTATATCTAGTATAGATTGCACTATGAACCTCTTGAGAGATTAGATTGTAGCCTCTTAAATACTTCACCATGATAACACAGTACACTCACTGAAAGTAGACGTTGCATCTACTTCACAAACTTTATGTAAATTTGATTATAAAAAATCTGATGAGAGAAAAAAAAATGTTAAGAGCAGTAGCGGTCTCGCTAATATACTCGTAGTATGGCGTAACGTAAAAGCAATTACAAAAGTAACTGACCTTAACTACGGAAGCGCGGTGTTGACATTAGACTTCTTATCTTATCTTTATTTTACGCAGTATACTAGTATATGCAATGTATTGTTCGTTTAAAAGTAAACACTTAGAAAGTTTATCGGATCTACGACCGCTGACCTTTAAAGTGTAAGAGTACATAGTAACGGTGTAATTTTATCACACATTTTGATATATAAAATTTAGAACATATGGATTTATGACGTGTGTACAGTGCAACCTCTGGTCAAAAACCATCTGTTGAGCAACTACGATTTCAATGTTTCCGAAAGTGAGACTTCACAATTAGAGCAATACCCCTCAGCAATAAACAAAATCTACTCTGCAGAAGTGAAGTTGTACTGTAATAAAAATGATATTAAAGTGACATTGTTGTCAAGTTGAGTAGAAGTAGATATATATCATATTTCAATAGATTGACTTTTTTATGAAGATGACCAATAATTGATAATTAGAAATAATAGGATATAAAATATAAAATCTGCTAAAATATTAAAAGACTGTCCCTCTCTTTTTATCAACTGAGTGTAACCGACATATTCCGAAGGATATTTTCAGAAATTTCCTTGCATCACGTGGGTTATTGAATAGTTATATTTGATATAACAAAATATGAAATTGAAAACAAATATAGCAATATGTGAACATATTTTCACTTTTATCTGTGTTGTCTACATTTACACTTGGATGGTCATAATGTCACTTTGAGGCATGATAAAAAAGATTTATAATAAAGAAACATCAAATAATTTGCAAACACATTTCAAGTTATTTTTTGTGTTGTCATAGGTTGCTTTGATCATATTGTTATTGTTTTGTTGTTTTTGCTTTATCTATTTCTCTCATGTTAGTATGATATATCAACATAGCATATGAAACCAAGATTTATACATCAAATTGGTGCAAACACCTTGCACAATGTAGAGATAGAATCTCGTAAGTGATCTAGTGCAATAACTTATCTTCAAGTATTTGCACTTCAAATGATTTAATCCAAGTTATATATCACAATATATCTTACAGTCAAGTATAAAAACGTTCCTGGAATCATATCATTTAAAAAAGTTTTAGGTAACAAAGTTCGAAAAGTACAAATTACGTAACAAAGAGTAAAATTAAGTAGAACGATATGTCTACAAAAGTCTTAAAGAAAGAATGGGAAATGTAACTTATGATCTATAGGTTTAGGAAATATTTTTGCAAACTTTACTGGTAACTAAAATAAAGCCAATTTCATACTGGCATCAACTTAATAATTTGTATAAAAATATTCAGGGTATTAGACATGATTGACAACAGTGGAAATATAGACAAGGTACAAATGCAGTTCTAAGATTAAGAAAAGATTTCAATTGCAGCAGTGCTTTCAACGAAGGGATGACTTGGTTTAATTGAGTCCTTTCGTGAACAACCTGCAGCAGCAGTAACAACAACAAATCAACCACAAAAACAACAACAAAAAACACAACAACAAAATAACAAAAACGCACGTGAATATCTATTTATCTATCATTTTCTATTCATATTCGATTCAAACACATTTGTTGAAAAACAAAACTCTGAAAATGTGAAATTATTATTTTCGAAATCTGTTTCTGGTACGTAAAAAACGCTTACGAAGTTTAGGAATTATTTTGTGATGATGTTATTGGCTTACGAGATTGTGACTGAACTTTATATTACACTAAATGAGTCAAACTTTAATTAAACATACGTTTGAGTTAGTACAAGTTATTTATTACAATAACGCACTGGATAGACTGGTTAATAAAGTAAAGGTACTGTAATGTAAATAATGATAATAATTCTAAAACAAAATGTTGGCATTATCATTTTATTAGCATGTTATCATTATAACAAAACAAAAAACTATCATGGCATTCAAATAAACTTTATTTTAGATCCCTCTAAGATAAGCAAGATAGGTGCGTTAAGGTGAGAAGGAAAATTTAGTAGATATTTGTTACCCTTTTGCGCGATAACAAGATATCTGCATTTTTATTTATATGTAATAAAATACTTCAAACAATAAAGTACTTTTATATCAATTGTTAATCAATCAGGCACTTGATGCGCATTTTATAATTATTATCAAGTATAAAAATTATACAATACGAAAATCAATACAGTAATTGCTACTTAAATATGACAAAGAGTACCTGGATACCTCTAAGTACTCTTAAAA